TATTCCACTTTTATTTTTGACTGAGCGCCTAAACTGCCCCACTGCATGCCCGCTATGTCGAACCCATTCAGTTACCTTTAAACAAAGAAGAAGAGAACCCGTTATCATGAAAACAATACACATGGGCCTCACGTTTACCCCGATTTAAAAGCAGAAGAAAATTTGAGGCGTGGATGTGCCTGTGTCCGATAGGGTATCCTCTAAGGATGTAGGACTGTGACAGGGATTTCGTGTAGCGACACGCATTAGGCGCTCAGAATGTGCCAGGTAGTGCAGTCTACATTTCACACGATCCAGACGCGGCACTGCACCATCCCAGCCGCTTCTCTGCACCATAGGCTTCTATCACTGCACTAGCTCGACCACGTCGCTACACCAGCCAGCGCTCACTGCATCATTGTGGCCGTGCCACTGCACCAGTTTGGTCACAGCACTGCACCAGTCCTGCCACGTCAACGCAGCGGGCCGCCCGGTATCACTGCACCATTCCGGCGGCGTCACTACGGCAGCACCGTCCTGCCATTCCACCTCACCCTCGCCACTCCGGCCTCACGTTTTCCCGCCGCTCCACTTCACCCTTGCCACTCCGGCCTTACGTTGTCCCGCCGCTTCTCTTCATCCTCGCCACTCCGGCCTCACGTTGTCCCGCTGCCTCTCTTCATCCTCGCCACTCCGGCCTCACGCTTCTCTTCACTCCCGCCACTCCGACCTTGCGTCGTCCGCCGCTTCTCTTCACCCGCGCCACTCCGGCCTCACGTTGTCCCGCCGCTTCACTTCACCCTCGCCACTCCGGCCTTGCGTAGTCCGCCGCTTCTCTTCACCCTCGCCACTCCGGCCTCACGTTGTTCCGCCGCTTCACTTCACCCTCGCCACTCCGGCCTTGCGTCGTCCGCCGCTTCTCTTCACCCTCGCCACTCCGGCCTCACGTTATTCCGCCGCTTCACTTCACCCTCGCCACTCCGGTCTTGCGTCGTCCGCCGCTTCTCTTCACCCTCGCCACTCCGGCCTCGCGTTGTCCGCCGCTCCACTCCACTCTCGCCACTCCGACCTCGCGTCGACACTCCCGTCTCGCCCAATTTCACTTCCGCGCGGCTCTTGGCGTGCTTCATGGCTCCGGCTCATGCGCTCGTCCATCGCGAGCATGCCGTGCATGCGCCGCGGCCGCCGCCCAGTAATGGGGGCGCCCGCCCAAGGCGGCACCAGGCGCCGGTCGCCAACGCCCGCCCAGCTTTTAGTTGTCTATGTTATATGTGCTGCTTCCATGGGGTGATGTTCGATGGACGTCCTGCAGTGATTTGAAGGCAGTCTGGCCGCTTGGTGTTGTTTTGTGAGTTCTCTTTGCGGCCAGTTTCGGCATTTATTTGGGAGTTCCGCTGTGTTACTTGCGTGCAACGTGCACAGATTATTTGCCAAAAGCACCAGTCCTCTCGATCTACTGGTCGTATTTTCTGTCGCTACTTCCATTTACTTATCGTTATAACTCATTCAATAATTCGAGACGGTTGCTTTGATTCAAGAACTGTATTCTTTTGCTCCGATCAGACCATTACTGCACGTCTCGTCCTGATTCATGATGAAAAATGTGCATGCTGTGATGCGGTATATTGCGTCATGATCGTTCATCCAGGAAACGGGTGTAACGTCGCACCGAACGATAAGCACGAAATTGGGCCTTCCGCGGGCGTCGGCATGCAAGGGATCAATTCAGTGTCATAATATGACGCACTCCTGCCCGCGGTTCCATCGACGTAGGTCGGTGCCCATCGCAGCACCCATTGATTAACGGATCGCCTGCGAGCGGCTACACCTTTATCGACGCCGCTGCGCAGGCCCACGTGATAAGCGCGTGATCACCAGCCGCACGCACACCCCGACACACCACGCGGCCCGTGGCCCACCGGCCGTGCGTGCGCTGGTGTGTGCCATCGTCCAGCGGCACCCCACAAGGGAGACGGCGTGCCTGCCCCGACTCTGCCTCCGGCTGCATCCGGCCGTGGCGCCAGCTGCGCGCCGGCCCGCTTCGCCCGGCCGACAGACAGCTGGCGCTGCGCAGTGTCGACCTCAACTGCGCGGACAGGCTCAGCTGACTCCACCGGACTACACCGGAGTACAGCACCATGGAGGCTTTTTTTCTGCAGGCTTTTTGGAGAGCCTTGACTCAGAGCTCGAAACGCCACGCTTTGATATTGTCAACCCGGTGCGCAGCTTGGATAAGAAACCAGCTGTCTTCTCCCCACACTTTCTTGGAAGAGCCCTTTGAAGCGCGGAATCTCGATGCTTCATGCGAAGTAAATGCATGATACAGTAACTCATCTCTAGCAATGACGAAATAGGAATGACCGGGAATGTATGCAAAGGGTGGAGAAGAGGGGTGTGGCGACATATCGTCGTCAAGTTTTAGTTTCATATCAGGAATGCGCTACATTCACAATTATGCACTAAGCTTCCATCTTGCACCGGATATTGGCCGCGTGTGATTGGAGGCAACGTGGCGCAGACGGTCGATGTTTTTCGTTAAAGAAGTGTAGAAATAAATGTTGTGTACTGACTCTTCGCAGGGAACGGTCAAGGAGATGAATGCTGCATTGTACAGGCAGCAGCAATTTTACGCCAGCAAAAGAGTATCATATTCCGTGTGGAAATGTGATTCACATGCTCTTGGCAGAACAGGCTTCAAAGGCTTGAGCTCTGTTGTGAACGTGATGTGTTACCAGCTGCACTGCCCATAGAGGAACACACCGTCTGAGGCTCGGAAAATCAGCAGCGCACCGTGGAGAAAAATCTCAACTCAGTACGCCGCGGGAGTTCTGCCCAGTCAGCACGAAAACGGTGGATATATGTCAAAAGCTAACGAGATACGCCAGCCAGGGGTATCCCTTCCAGGCAAAGCTGTCTTGTAAAATGGGTTGCACGGCTCACAGACGACCATGCATTTAGTTCATATGCCACACACCGGCCTCTTCCCAGGCTCCGGGAGGAGGCCGGTGTCTGTGTACGCTGACGGCTAGGTGATCACCTCTGGCAGCTGGTGCCTGCCTGCGTTGACGACTGGGTGATCACCTCTGGCAGCTGGTGCCTGCCTGCGTTGACGACTGGGTGATTACCTCTGGCAGCTGGTGCCTGCGTGCGTTGACGGCTGGGTGATTACCTCTGGCAGCTTGTGCCTGCGTGCGTTGACGGCTGGGTCACAACTTTGGCGGCCGGTGTCTGCGTGCGTTGATGGCTGGGTCACAACTCTGGCGGCCGGTGTCTGCGTGCGTTGATGGCTGGGTCACAACTCTGGCGGCTGGCGCCCGCATACGTTGACGGCTGGATGATCACCTCTGACGGCCGATGTCTGCGTGCGTTGATGGCTGGGTCACCTCCTCTGGCGGTCAGTGTCTGCGCGCCTTCTGAAGTCTAAGTTTAGGCGCGGCCCGAGCGGCGCCTAGGAACGGCCGTCGGGAGACTTTGCTCATTTCCGACAACGGGAAGCTCGCTGGTGTTCGGGATTGGCTCGCGAGACACCAAATCATATTTGGCGTTGTTCATCGATTGAGCGCCAGTCCAGGGCAAGATTGACTGTCAAGTGCTTTCTTATTCAGCGCGTACCAGAGTGTGGGTGCTGCCTATTCATTCAGTCCAGCGCAAAATTGGATTTCTGTGTTCGCCGTGGCAAATCTAACAACGTCATCAGGCGTGAATGTCGCGGGCCTTCTCGGCCTAAAGAGTCCAATTCTGGCAGGCTCTGCGATGGGCTCAAATCAAGTCAGCTTTGGCTCTGAAATCTCCCGGAAAGTTTACTTCATTGTTATGGGTTTCAAAACTGAAAGCCAAGAACTTGACCATAGACGCTTCGGTCATACATGATGCTTCAGCTCAAAGAGCCGTCTGCTAGAAGATGTTTGGCGAAGTATTCGAGCTATAACAGCTGCAAGGGGGTGTTAAAAGCGAGCTTAAGGCCTATGAGCTCCCAAAGGGGTGTCAGCTCATAGCATGTCTAGTCTGCCAAGTTTCGGCATCTCAATACAGTTGGGGCAGCATGACAAGCACACAAACCATGCCTTGAATTAATCGTTTCCCAACCGCCAGCAAAATTCAGGGAAGCACAAATGTATCCGACTGATTTCTGCGGCACCATACACAAGGGTGCATAAACCACAGGACCTGACCAATTTTTAGCCCCAGAACAGCAGAGGAAATGACCAGATCTGCATGATGAGAGTCGCTATTCACCGAAGAAACCGGAGTAGCCTATGGCTGTTAACACACGATGGTAAGAAGAGGGGAGCCGTACGTAGAGTATGAGGCTTGCTGCCTGGTCACCGGTGAAACTCTTAGACAGAACGTGATCAGCGACGTCCAATCTCGATTGATTCACCGGACAGGCTGACAGCCCTCCCCACGTCCTCCAGGTGGAATCCGTATGGTAAACAAGCCCCCTCCCGCCTTCATGACTTCCGCAATCGCCCAGCTGATGCACAAATACTGTCATCTTATCGTTAAATCCGAGGGATGCACTATACCTTTGGACACCCCACCTTTGTTCGACCTGACAGATGCAGGTCACCGACAGGCACGGATGCAGGCGCGGACACAGGCACCCTCCAAGCGATCCGGCCGAGTTCTGCGAAGTCCTCAAAGCAGCGCACCCACCCACCACACCCGGCCACCCATCGCCGGTCCACACAGAGAAGCGCAGAAGCTGCGCTCGCCTGCGTGGCATCAAGCCGCCCACAGCCCCGCCGTCGCTCCAGCCAGGCCGGCAGCCGGCCGCGGCGCCCCAGGGCAGGGCCGGCGTCTCGGCCGCCAGGGCGCAGCACTGTCGGCGCGCGGAGGCCGGCGGTGCCGGGCGCCGTCTCCGTCGGCATCCGGCGCGCCGCCGGCATCCCGCCCTCCCGCTCTGCCTCCGGGCGGCCGGCTCGCGGCCGTCCGCACATAGCACACAGCGGCGCTCCTGTGGGCGCCGCCACCAGCGCCTGCGGGCTCCCCGTCCCCCGCGCCGAGCCGGTGTCACTCACCATAGTCCAACGGAATCGGCGGGCGGCGGCGGCGGGCGGCGCGTCCGGTGTCGACGGCCGCGGCGTCCGGGGCGGCGCGGGCGTCTCTCGGAGTGAGCGGCGGCGGCGCCGGGCGGCTAGCACACGGCCGGTGGTCGCTGACTGGCGCGCTCGATACGCGCCGGCGGCGGCGGCCGGCTGCGCGCGCCGCCCCGGCCGCCGCCGCCGCTCCTCCAACTGGTCGGCGATCGATCCTGCAGTCGTCACCGCAGCGTTCCGGCCGCTCCCCGCAGCGGGCGGTCGCCCCCGCCCGCCGACGCCCCTCCGCCCAAATCGGCCGCCGCCGCCGGGACCGGAGGCCTATCCGTCACGGAGGATCGCCGGGGAGCTTTCAGGGTCGGCGTTACTCGTCGGAGGCTGCCCCTCCCCCCCCCCCCCGCCGCACCTGGCGTGTGACTGACGTGACGCCGATAAAATTCAGGACGAGGGCGCGTTAAATGAGGAAGAACCCGGCTCAACTTGCAGCATTCCGTCGATGCCCCCATGTCCCCGTCGAAGCATTTGTTGGCGTTCGCTGGACACGTCGGTGGTTATTCGCCGGTAGGCTGAGGATCCCCTCATTGTCTTGAGCGCGCCGCACCGCCGCTGCAGGCGGGCCGCAGCCGGCCGGCCGCTCGACCTGGCCGTATTCAGGCCGTTATTATTTCGATGCAGATGTCGTGCTCCCAGGCCTTAACGTCGTGCAGCTCGTAACCGTGCAGCTGTATTAGGCCGTAGCCGGTCGGGCGGCGTGCCCGGCGTTTTTACGGCGTGATAGCGACCGACGCGAGGAGGGACGTCCCGAGCGCCCGAATGGAGACCGCTGCCCGAGACCGCCGCTGAGTATCGGAGACGGCTGCCTGAGGCCGCTGCCGAGTGTTGGAGACTGCTGCCCGAGACCTCCACTGAGTATCGGAGACCGCTGCCCGAGACCGCCGTCGAGGGTTGGAGACCGCTGCCCGAGACCGCCGTCGAGGGTTGGAGACGGCTGCCCGAGACCGCTGCAGAGCATCGGAGACGGCTGCCCGAGACCTCTGTCGAGTGTTGGAGACGGCTGCCCGAGACCTCTGTCGAGTGTTGGAGACGGCTGCCCGAGACCGCTGCAGAGCATCGGAGACGGCTGCCCGAGACCTCTGTCGAGTGTTGGAGACTGCTGCCCGAGACCGCTGTCGGGGACCGCTGCCGATAATCGGGAGCTGCTTCTCAACTCTGCCGAGGTCACAGGTATCACTGAGAGACCAAAGCCTGAGACCGAAACAAAGCATGCTGAAACAACTGAGTACTAGTTCGGAGAACATAACAGAAGTATCAGGCAGAAAACTGAGGCTGCCTGAACGACATTAAGAGCGATTGCAAAGAAACGTAGCAAACAAAAACTAATAAGCAACACTGCAGTTATTGGGACGGAGACCGCTGCGGAATATCGGAGCCCCAGCACGCAGGGTTAAACCAGAAAGCGTTGCCAAATATTCGAGGTGTTTTGGAGCGGAAGAACAGCAGAACACAGAGACTAGCACCGGAGGTATGCTTCGGTATGGGGGCTTTCAATACCAAGACTGCTTGCTGTTGACATTTATGAGTTTAAAGTAGTTACGACCTTCGGACTTGGAATTTTAGGGTCTATTTTTCATCGAGCAATACCTGTCAGATGACGTCGCAGCCTTTACGCTTTCTTTCCGAGGAGTTTGTGAAAAGGCGTGGTATGCGCAGCGTGCGGGACGCGAATAACGCACCTGATAGGCAGTGGAGATTACTTGATTCCAAAACGTTTTAACAGAAGGGGAAAGCGATAGTTCTTTGAACTGCCATTGTAATGCACGCTTGTGGGCTCAGGACGCCAGCATTGCCCAGCACAACTTCAGCGCTTGTACAACACTAAGCACAGCATTCTCCGTCGTAAACGACTTCTGGCGTCGACATCGATTTCACTTGACGCGCAGCGTCTCTCGTGGCCCCGTAGCGTGGGGCAGCAGCAGCTTCACAACTATCCGCCAAGGATCAGGCCTGATTTAAGACAGCGTGACACAGCCACCACCGCACGAGAAGACCAATCTGCGCTGTGGGTGTTCAGTCCAGGCCTGCTTCGAGCTGCGTCAGATTTGCTGGCTGGAAATGGTTTGGGTCGGGCCATGGTAATGCTGGTGAGTCCAGGGCACAGGAGCTGCCAAGGACGCTGAGCCCATCTGTGCCAGGAGAAATGCTTTAACTTTCCTAGTAGACTTTCTTGAAGCAGGGCGGCATAGAGAAGCTGTCAGGGGCATTATAAAGTCGTCGATATCAGTTAAGAAGTTCCCATTCGATGCGGATAGTATGTTTCTATAGAGCACTTCAAGGACGGGAGCCCATTTGCTGGCTTTGATAACAACACAAAGAACAAAGACGTTGTCTTGCAATCAGGAACAACGTTTCAGTTTCCATAAATGTTTTAACCATAAGAGATGGAACAAAAACTCACTTTGCAGCTATTGTGTACACTGACGGGCACCGCTCTGATGTCTTCGCATAGCATCCAAAAGGTCAGAGCCATCTCTTGACGGCTGGTTTGCCGTATGTCTTTTGAAGTTCTCCACGGTAGATCGTACGGCTTACATGAAGGAGCCTGGTATTCATCGGGAGGTATTCGTAAGAGCAACGCTCGCACGTTGCTACCCATGACGGCACACACATATCCAACATTGTTCAGACCCTGTGCACGCCTGAGCACAGAGGCATCCTCATCTGCTGGGCATTATCCATGCTGGCAGATACGTGGAACACCGCCGGGCCTACGCCCGGCTGATCGCCATGCGCACGGCCGCCCTCCCCCCCCCCCCCTCGTCGGGGAGGAAGAGTCGGCAGAGAGAGGGGGGCTTCCTCCTCCCCGAGATCCGGTGACGGGCGGAAGCGTGCAGCGACGACCCACTCGATGGATTGCCCTAAGTGATCTTCCGCAGTAGCTTCCACGGTCGGCACGTGTCGAGTGATGCCACGAGCGGCACGTGGCAGCACGTGCCGTCCGACGAGCGGTACTCACGCCGTGGCCAGTTTCCTGCCTTTGCTTACGTCATCTCCAGTTGGGTGTTGTCTATTGCGCGGAGCATGTCGCGCATGCGATGGGCAGACCCTGATGCAAAGTTGTGAAATACATTGCGTTTATTTGTGCGCGCGAGCGATGCATCACACAACACACATCATGTATTCGTGCATCGGCACATACCCAGAGACAGTCCAGGAACCGCAAATGAAGCAAGTCAATAAGGGCGCAAATCAATGAAAACGGTTAAGATAGTACACCGCGGACTGACGTCGGGCCGGCGACACTGATCCACAGTAACACCGCCGACTGACACTGGCGAAGACAAACGGAACGTGTCAGGCTGACATCGAAGATAAATTGTGCACCACTGTCTGCGAACGACAGCGGTAAGGACAAATTACACGCCACCTACTGTCACCGGAAGCAGCTAATCCAAGGTGCAATCACGAGCGAGCGCTATGAATGAGCCCCAGTTGCAGTTCTATCTTTTCGCGCGGCACGGAATTGCACACCCCGACGAGCTGATCCCGAGGTCGCCAATGGCTGTGAATCTGGGGTCCGTGCGGTCTGTAGGCGCGCCTGAGTCCACGCTTTTCCGAGGCCGATGGAGATTGGGTACGCGTCGTTGTGACGTCACACCAACGAGACGAAACGGTGTGCTCCGGCCGGTGACTAAGGTCGGGTCCTCATGTCGCCTGATGGTGTCGACCAGGCTGGCCGCGAGACTGCTCCAACGCTACGCTCGGCCAGAGTGGTGTCAGGTGCCTCAGATTTTGATGGCGCCCTAGTGTCAAGACGGCTGGTCGTCTGGTGTACTCCGCGATATGCCAGCCGCCACCGCGCTCTAGTGGAAACGGCCGTCGTAATGCAACAGAGTCCCTCGTAATGCACGAGGTACAAATGCCAGCTCGCGCGCACTGACTGACACAGAAGGAGAGGCTGCATTTGTCGAGAGGCCAGAGGGCTAGGACCGGGGACGACGGAGCATGGGGCAGACGCGTCAGAGCACTGATTGACACAGGAGAGGCTGCACTTGTCGAGAGGCCAGAGGGCTAGGACCGGGGACGACGGAGCATGGGGCAGACGCGTCAGAGCACTGATTGACACAGGAGAGGCTGCACTTGTCGAGAGGCCAGAGGGCCGGGACCGGGGACGACGGAGCATTGGGCGGACGCGTCAGAGCACTAACTGACACAGGAGAGGCTGCACTTGTCGAGAGGCCAGAGGGCCGGGACCGGGGACGACGGAGCATTGGGCAGACGCGTCAGAGCACTGATTGACACAGGAGAGGCTGCACTTGTCGAGAGGCCAGAGGGCCGGGACCGGGGACGACGGAGCATTGGGCGGACGCGTCAGAGCATTTGACGATGTCTGCGCGAATGAAATCCAGCCGCAGTCTCCTCTGGTTATGAAGGTCGGACACAACTTAGCTGCTAAATTGGGTCCAGATTGTTCTAGCAGCATGGGGCATCAAGCAGTATGCTCAGGGGATGCGCGGACAAAAAGTCGAATCGGTTAAATAGCGAGCTGCAAAAAGGTGAGATCCAAAAATGTTGATATGCCAAAGTGCGGGGGGGCTTAATGGCGAACTGAAAGCGGCGACATACCAAAAATTCGACGCGCCCAAATGGCGAACTTCAAAATGTTGGCGCACCAAAACATTAAAATGCCAAAAATGCGAGCAGCTCAAATGTATAATGCTTAAGGGTCTCGCTTGAATGAATGACGACATTGGAAAATGGAGGCATGTCAAAATTACGAGAGCGGCATGACGGCATGGTCGAAAACGACAAGCCCAAGTGATAGGCCGGATAGCACCGCTTTTTTCAATGGCTGCATGAAATAGGGGAACTCCTATTCGGTCTGCTATAGCCCCTACAGTCGGTGCGGCTCTCTTCACGAAAAAAAATGACTTAAGTTTCTTTTCCTCTGCGTGAAAAGAGTAGTAGCCTGATTTTCGCTCTCATTGTCATCTGTTAGACTGGCAGGCACAGATCATAAATATTTCATTGGAGTCTTTGCGCCGCATCTCGTTT